AGTGGCCTTCAGGCCACCTGCCGCTGCGTAAAGGATCACACCCCAAGGAATCAGGAAGGATGCCAGGTTCGTATCCACGCCCGTCAGCGCAGTTACTGCGGCAGCACCGCACATTAGCAGCATGGACGTCACGAGTACGTTGGCCAACAGCGCGAAGAAGAGGAAAGTCAGGTGCGCACGCTTGCCCCACCTTCAAATTACGCTGTTAATTGGAAGGGCTATGCGATGGGACTGATGGGAAGGGTGAAGTTCGGAATGTCGCTACCTGGCCAAAACCATCTCGCACACTGTGTGCGCCGTCCGAGCACGGCGTTTGACCTCGATCGCCAACATGCCGAAGAACACTACCTGGATCGTTGCGCCGCTGGCGTACCAAAACGGCCCAGAAACTCCGTACTGCCATGCCACATTGCAGGATTGCAGAAGTGTCCTCGGCCAGGTCCACTGCGAGACGATGACAGAAGCTGTCAGGCCTGTTTTAACAGTGCGGCCGGCAGTGTTGAAGAATTCTGATGTGTGCGCGGTTCCATTGACATGCTTGTCCAGATATACCAACACTGTGGTTACCACCGAAAAGAATGCTCCAAAGCCAAGCAAGATTGCATAGCCGGACTCTTTCGGCAGTGGCGGGTTGTCCTCGAAAAAGCTCGTCTTGCCTATGTAGTCCAAGCCCATCAGCATGATGCCGGAGAGGTGGGCAGCGGGAGATCACGTTGCCTAATGCTGCACGGATGCTTCTGAGCCCGCCTGAAAGAACAGACTTTCCATGGACTTTCCTGACATCACGACTCAAATCTCAAGATCAGATGTTCTGTTCGGGACCACCTCCGCGGGCAAGGGAAAGCAGTTCTCCTCTGTTCTGGGAATCACCTGAAGTGTCCAGCAACGACACGACGCTTTCTATGTGTGCAGCACCTGCCTCGCCCGTTCAACAGCCTAACTTTACGACTCTCTCTCCTTTCGCTGGGAAGCCCCCGGATCTCCGCAGAGGATGAACAGCAGGCAGACCACGGCGATCACAGCCTGCGGCCAACTCGGACGCTTTCTCACCGGGGAGTTCGTCGAGGATTTAATTTTCAATGTGATGCTACTGCCACCACTACTACAACGACTGTCCGTACAATTCAACAATTATAGGGTGCAGGCGATGTGAAGTCCTGACAGTCTGATCTGCTGCTGCTGCTGCTGCGACGAGGAGGAGGAGGAGGACGACGACGACTACGACGACGACTGCGACAACGGCTCCTGCTCCTACTGCGAGCACACATGCATGGAAACGCCCGACTCGGAAGGACAGTAGCAGCCTCAGTGTAGATCGCTGTCAGGTAGAGGAACCTCCACACGTTGCGGCTTACACGAGCCGTGACAGTCGAGAATCTTCAAACACCGTATAGGTGCAATGTTTCCTTGGCTCTCAAATCGTCCTGTGTCTTAAGCTGAGAGCTTCCCAGTCTCGCCCGAGTTTCAAGCGTTTTGGCACGGCAACAACACGCCCGCCCTGCAAGCACGATCATGCGCACCTGAACCTCTTTTGGCTTCAGCTCCGTAAGGTTTGCAGTTCGCGACTTGGGATGCATTGACCGAGTGGCCGAAGCTGAAAGGATTCACAAACATATATTCGACCTCGTTCGACCAAAGAGAGCCGGCGGAGGCCTTTGAGAGCTTCGGGCCCCTGTGCTTCTAACAGAACTTCGAGCCTGTCCGGTCGTCCCTGGCTAGCAGGCGGTGGTATTGCTATTCCTGCTCCTCGCAGGATTTCGTCCCAATTCCCACCCTAGTTAGAACGTCCGAAATTGCCGAAATCACCGCTATAGTTGGTGGTACTGTTGCTGTGCAGGGCTCGAATGGCCTGCCACGGCAGCAGGAATATCGATAGCCCCAGAACGCTCGACGTTCGTTTTTGCAGACATAGGCCGGCCCTCGCCGACGTGGCATCGACGCAGGAGGCGTCGTCGGGCCAGCGCGCGCGCGCTACTCTGCGGAACGGGCTCCTCCCTCCCAAGAGCCAACTGCAAGTGCTGATCCCACATCACTCCATCACCAGACAGCTACATTCCAAGCTGCTGGGACGGATGGGCAGAGAGCGAGCAGGCAAAGAACACAAGGAATGGCAAAAGCCAGAGGGAAGTCAGTCCTGGCAAATATGGCGGGGCTTACTCGCCCTCTACGGCACCATGGCGGCATGGACAGCCCAGGCAGCCACAGGACCTCTTTCCGACTAACAATGCCGTAGCCCCATGTGCAGTCGAGAGCCAGCAGCCGCATGGATTGCGGACAACCTCGGAGACCGGGCACCTTGCGACAGACATGCAGACCGCCTTAAATGTAGCCCGAAAGGCGGAGACGAGAGTCTCCAAACTGCACGAGGCCTACGAAAAGGCACAGGAACAGTGGGTCGCACACGAACAGTTGGCGAAGCTCAACTTTCAGAAAGAAAGGAGGCGGTATATGCGAGATCTCGAGAGAATCGAGAAAGAGGCTTTGGAGGCCGAGGACCAGCAGGAGCAAACGCGATCTACCGTTCGTCAGATTGCTGCGAGAAGCCCAGGCCCACCAAGGACCTGTGCTCAAGGCCGCCACCACAGCAGATCCCCAGGTTGCTGCACTTTTCAAGTCATGGGCCGGGGAAGATGGGGCGGCCCTCGCCCGCAGGAGTGCTGCCACGGGCTTTCCAAGCGAAATCGGATGCACCGACGACCCCGGCACGCACTACAGCAGCTCCGCCGAGGACTCCGGCCACAGCGTGCACCTCAGATGCTTGAAGGATCCATACATGGCCACAACCCCAGTGCCTGCGCCTCCGACTGTGGCTACCTCGTCAGAACTACCGCATGGTTCAGGAGGAGCTCCAATCAAGCTCAGCACAACTGTCGCACTGCATCGGCAACAGTCAGATGGACCACGAGCACAATCTTATCTTGCAGCTCATCTTCTGATGATTTCCCTCCGCAACCCAGACCGAGGAAACCCCTTCATAACATCATGCCTGATAGAAGAAATCCCCGCCCATTACATCAAGAGACTCCTGTTGTGGCTTTGATGTGAGATTTGGGACACACTCGGAAGCATGGAAAGGTAAGTGAAGGACACCTGTCCTCGCGAGACGAGCACAGATCGCCGCTGAAGCCGAAACGTGACAGCCATTCCTGCCAGTTACGAAATTCGACACTCTTCCGCCTCGGCTTCCGGATTCGATGTTTCACACATGAAGCCTGCTTTCAAGAGCTCACAGGTATATCGTGCCTTCCGCTGGCAAGTTCAGGGTGTGCAAAGATCCAACTGCTAAACCACAATGGCACACCGGCCCTCAGCACAGCGACAAGACACTCGTTCTCCGGTGCCTGCAGGTCCTTCAAGATCAAGCCCTTCGGAGCTCCTTCTGGCAGGATGCTTCACGGAAGCAATAACTACAGCGTTATCATAGATACCGAGCAGTAGTGCTACTAGTGCGGACTTAAGACCCCGGGCAGCTTTTCTTGAGCACGTGCTAGGCTGCTAGCCGGGGTCGAAACGACTCACGCCACAACATCCGCATCATCTCTGAGCTCTCCGCCTGAGTACAGGCAATAGCGCCGGGAGAGCATCGGCACCGGCGCAGCAGATGCCATGCTCGCATGGACCCGACACGAGAGGATCGACAA